TTTAAATCATCTTTCACAATCTTCAAAATATCAAAGATTCCATGGGAGAATACGCAGTATTCTTATGAATAATTTGCCTGCGCTCTAACTCGGTATCATATATTCCATGTATAAAATACTATGGAAGCATATATAATGAAAAGAGTAATATGATATATAAAACACTTTGTCGTTAAAAATATTGCAAGTACTTGAATATATTTCATCGTTAATCTTTTAAATTCCTTCGCAGCTTTAGGATTCCAAATATATCTCAGAAAATACTGAAGATCCTTTCCATCCTTTTCAGCTTACAGATTGCAAATTGTTAATATATATATATATATATATAATTTTCAATAAATATTGATTATTTTTAAATAAATGTGTGGCTTGAAATTAAAATCATTGAACTGCACAAATAAATTAAACGTACAATCATTATGATAGTAAGAAAATATATAGAAAAAAGTAAATTTGCAAAAGTAGCGTGTTGTCGTAATGGAGTAATTTTATACATATAGTAATTCATGAGCAACAAATGGCAATGCGATCCTGCTATTATATAAAACATTGCGCTACGATTTCGTTTACTTTCCTCAAATTCACGGCAGAGCGAAGTCGGGAATGACATTCGCGAACATTTCCAGAATGTCGATATCGAGGAGACAGTCTAAAATGTCGGCGGCCTCAGAACGACGTTTAAGATCTGACATTCGCAATGTGGGTATACATTCCTTCTGATAAAATTCAGTCACCCTTCTTCAGTTCCTACACTTCCGTCGAATACTCGCTGCCGGAGAACAGGACGAAGGTCGCGACATACGAAGTAAAAAGGTTTGAACGATGAAGGAGAACATGCTGATGGTGAAAGAAAAAAGGGATAAGAGAGAATACGGGGTGAATTACAGGATGCATGCTGTTTCCTTTTCTAGGTCGTCTCTGCTCCGGATTTTTTCCCCAAGAGCTTGGAGGAACTACGTTATATGCATTCATTCTTTTATAAAAGCGAAGATAAAACCCTCCAATTTTTTCATTTATATACACTGATCTTAGAAATCTTTAAGATAAACAAATATATTGATATATCAAAAATTAAACAGGCCATAGTTATTAATACACGGAATCATTATTACACATTGTATTGTTAAATTTATACATTGTGAAAGAATTTTGAATAAAAATATGTTACAGTTTAAAATAATAATTTCATAATATTGAGTGTTAAAATGAACATTAATTTAATTATTCAACATGTTTTCTAGTTTCTAGATTTTATTACTCTTAATTAATTTACAAATTAAGGGTAATAAAATCTGGAATCTAGAAAACACATATGTTGAATAATTAAGTTAAAAATTAAAATATATTTAGAAGATGTAAATAAAATTATTTAAGAATAATAACTAATTTATGTACAGAATAAAATTTAAGAATTAATTATTTACATATGCAACTAAAATCCATTAAAAAAATTTGCAATAGATTTTAGCGTATAAAGTTTAGTTATATCGTGGAAAATTATAGTTTCATATTTTTCTTTAAATAGATATTTTGTTACAGTTTCTTATAAATATACATTCGTTATTTTCCTATAAATTCTACTCATTCTCTTTACTCGCGTCACTTTGATGAAATATGCTAAAAGTTCTTATAAATTTAAATTTGATATAAATGCAGCTTTTTGTAAAAAATATGTGTATAAAACTAAAAAAGAGATATATTTTTGCAAGATTTTTGCTTTCAGTGATTTATTCAAACCAATTTTTATTTATGCTGTATTATTTATCTATGTATATTTGAAGTAACTAAAATATTTGGACATTGCTGCTTTACTAAAAACATATCGTTCCTTTACCTCAAACATGACAACTTTAAAAAATGTAATTTTTCAGTTATTATCATAAATGAGTTAAAGATTACTATATAAATCACCAAATATAAAATAACTTAACTTCACAATCCGTTCATTAAATAGCACTCTTAAAGTTTTCAAAGAGGTTATAATATTTTCTACAAGGTGATCAATTTGAGTTGTCATATTTGTAAAAGGAGAGTTTTCTACAGACAACATTTAAAATTAAGACTATTTTGGTGAACAAAGTTTAAAAAAAAATTGGTTTATTTTGAATTTAATCATTAGTAATAAAAATATGCATATAAACCTATTTTATATGTAATACTATTTTACGATATAATCGTACATAGTTGGAAAAAATGTGTTGAATTTAACATAAATCGCATGTCCCAAACGGTCCACTCAAATTTTTGAGTTAATTTTACACAAGATGAATATGTTAGAAGATAACACAAATATTATGTAAGAGAATAAATACACAGTTTGTAAACAAACCGTGGGAACATTTTTTTTTCAGAAAATTAACATTTATGATATGTTAAATTAACACGTATTTTATTCATTCGTCTTAGAATTTACGTTTTAAAACACATTATTTTTGTGTTATTTGTTCACTTACTCATAAATTGTGTCATTTTGACTGAGAAACATTGAATATCAATTTCACAAAAAATGTTTAAATAACATAATCACATTATGTTAAATTAACACTCGAATATGTTAAAAAATTCAACACAAACGTGAATGGACTGTTTCTAACACAAAATACACAAATTTTTTTACTGTGTATAATGTTATAACAATCGGTATAATGTTTCGTCATACTCATAATTTTCCTATATCTTCTTGAATAACTTACTTAGCCGTGAATAATATGACATTTCTTCGCAATGTCGATACACAACACATCTCCGCGCAAAACAAATGTATTAACTACGCGCATTCGTGTGAGGAAAAATAAAAAGGTCTCGCGTGGCACGCATTTGCAACCCAAAACAGTACAAGCCGACACACGGTCGGCTCGCATATTCGCTGCGCTTAATGCATTAAACGGACGACTCGCCGCGGTCGCCTGCAATAGCCGCCACAATGGAATTCAATTTTCGCAAGCGTGGGCACGAATGGCCGTCGATAAAGAATGGATAGATTCGTCGTCCGACGAATGAAGGAAAGAGACCGACATAGGCTTTTAACAGGAGCCTCCACAGCTCTAGAGAGCTGCTTTGTCCCTTCCAACCGTGTGCGAGCCCTCCTCACCCTGCTTGCATAGATCGGACTCCCTTCCCTCCTCACCCTCAGCTTACATGAACACCGCCAACTCTCCATGGCCGGGAGAATTCAGATAGCGGATACCGGATGCTATTATGCGCTACATATATATCCCGTGAACTTTACAGCCAGTAGACTGCGATACTCTGAGGAATTTACAGTCTGAAAGATATTGCCAGGCGATATACACATATACTGGCAGCACTTCGCCCTTGTAGGCTCTATATATGTACAGCAGGGATCGAATCGACGGAGATGGAAGGTCCTATGGGATAAGGAAATGATTTCTGTCCTTAAGAGAGTTTACGGGCTGTGTTGAAATCTTTCGAGGCCTATCCCCTATTTTCTCTCTCTCTTTCCCCTCTCCCTCTTTCCTTCTCTCTCTCTCTCTCTCTCTCTTCTCTTTTCTCTCTTCCTTATCTCTCTTGCTTTTGATTTTCTCTCTACATTTCTCACACTCTCATCGAGCGCACGTGCCAGAAAAGAAACACCATATAATGCCTGTCCAACTGTCAATCCGACTTTTCTCTCTGTGTATACCTTCGATCTTTCGAGAATGAAACGGCGTCCCATTTCGATCCGTGGGCGGACGGATGGGAACAATCGCGAGCTTTTGTTTAATTCCGAGATTGCACCACGAGACACTCGCCTCGAATGTTGGTACGCGCAGATGGGACCTTGCGCGAGTTTTTCCTTCCACGTTTCATTAGAGAGGAGACACTTGATAGTCCGAGCGGCTTCCTTGCGTAAATTTATCGTCTCGCTTGGAAAGTTTGATCGGGATTAAAATCACCGTGCGATCACGAGCGGAGTAAGTGAAGCGCGTTTGTTCTACTTGGCGAGACTGTTTGAGGACACGATAATGGATACGGCGGCAATCTTGGGCACATTATTACAAAAGAAGTACGACAAAAAAAAATAAAAATATTTCGTAATACTTTCTAATTTTATTAGAACTTAAAAATTAAGGACCCTTTGCGTGAATTCCTAGAATATAGTTAAATAATAAAACCTTATTGTATCCATCTATATTCAAATGATACTTTGTTAGAAATTAATTTATAATTAATGATTTTTCTAAGTATCTAATATAGTGATTGATGAAGCGAAGTAATAAATAATAATATAAAAAAATAATGAGAGAAGAATTTAGTTAATAATAATAATTTAGTTAATAATAACCTGAAGGAAAAATTTAGTTAAAACTTTTATTAAATTTACATTCCGATACCAATTAAGTAACGAATAACCGATTAACTACTGCATTTGCAATTGAAATTGAGAACATCACGTTTAATCCGCGCTTTTATAAAAATTTAAACTGAAAAGTTAAGAATGCTTAGTTTACATTTGCGTATGTACATACAGATTGAGAACACGATATCGGTTCTAGGTCACGTTTTACAAGGAAAAATTTCTGTTGGGTAATTTTCCGAGCAAAATTTGAAAACAAACTTTTGTCCCGGTTGCATGTTTTCGTAAAAGTGAGATAGTGACTATCAACCTTTCCTCCATTACAGAAATTCTGGAGGAAGGATTCAACTGATACGCGTCTAAGCTGGGGATCCTGGAAAACTGTGCGACCGGCCAAAGGGCCGGCTAGAAACAGTACCTCTTCTTGCTCGCAAAGAGGATCAAGAAATCTTATCGTACTTGCTACCTAGACGAAGAAAAAGAATCCAAAAGAGAAAGGAGAACCTTCCACGGCAGGGTGGAAGGAAAAAAGAAAGGGAAACAGAAGACAGGAAACGTGATCGCAGCCTGGAAGATAAGTTAGCCTGGAAATGTCGAGCATAGGCAGGAAGATGGAATCCCAGGCGAGACGTTCAAAGATCTCGTGATTGGTGTCAGTACCTGGCCGAGGTGGTAAGGTCGATCACGGAGATCGACCGTGATGGAGGCAAGAGCGAATGAATCGTTCGTCAGGTCGATCCTTCGAAACCTTTCGCTGACCCGCGAACGTCGGCACCTGGACAAGCCGCCTGGGGGAGAAGTGGCTACAAACGCCATCGATGTTGTCGCCACGACCGTGCAAGAGGAGAAGATGGCGGACTTTCTGGGCGATGCCCTTGCAGGGAATGACAGTGACGTCGATGGCGATGGGTCCGGTTGGTTCAATGACTCGACGACCGCTGTCTTCTCGACTCTGTCCGCCTCCTCGTCGTTCGCAGACTCCACGTCGTCGTACTCTACGAGCGTTGACAACTACACCGGTAGCGTGTCCGACCTCTTCGCCTTCGACGACCTGAGTGATTACATCAATCGATTCAACTACAGCGTTCTCGTGAATCTGACGGCCTACTACGACGGCGGCACAGATCTGAATCTCAGTAGCGTCAATTGTACATCGTCGATAGTCGCCGGGGGTACCGTTAGGCCGGGCGAGTGTGCCGGGACTGCCGGCTTCGACGAGAAGTCTGACGCGAACAGCTGGTGGGCTCTGATACTCGTGATCGTGCCGTGTTTGACGCTTTTCGGTAACGTGCTCGTTATCCTAGCGGTAGTGAGAGAACGGGCGCTGCAGACTGTCACTAACTACTTTATCGTCAGTTTGGCGGTCGCTGATCTCCTCGTAGCGGTGCTCGTTATGCCGTTCGCGGTCTACGTACTGGTAAGTCTTTGCAAAAATAACGCGAAGTAACATTCTGTTTATCATATTTCAATATTTAAAATAGCTAACAAATAAACACTTCGTAGTAAATGTATTACACAAAGAGACCTATACAGCACAGAAACACATAGCAACATTGTTGCAGCGTTTGCTGGAACATTCTAATATTGGTACAATATTGTAATGATCTGTGCTATATGGGAATTATATTCTAATCAAATATCATTGTTTTTTTTTTTTTTTCAAATATCTCGAGATATTTTATTTCTTTATGTTTTTCTAAAAAGAGTAATTCATTCTAAGATATGCAACGTACGTACTAAAAAAGACTTGTAATCGTTAAATTGCAGGCGCTTATTTCATTGTTGCATCGCTGGAAAATGTTACTTTGCTGATTATCGCGTTCTAATTATACGAACACGAAGCGTATAGTTGTAAATATATATAACGCACGTATATAATCCATTTATCTTTCATCTGATGTGAGTAAAAATTTTAGAGCGATATATCTGTCGTAATTAATCATGTAAGACGTTCGAACGAAACGTTAAAGACTTATCATTCAGCGCGGTTTTATTTCGCTAACAGCAGTTGAGGGAATTAATATTACTAATTATAGATCATTACATAATTTGTAAATAAGATATTTGAAAACTCCGGAGGGGCGGAGTCTCGCATCGATCGCAAGTTTAGCTGCTAATTAGACGCTATACGTTACACAGCGTTTGCATGCACTCAATTACCGCCCTCACCTTCAGAGTACACGAGAAAAGGAAATTGAGTAGTATTCACTTTTAAACACTTTGATCTCGCTAACACTGAGGTGTCGGTTAAAAAAGAGAGATTTTTCCGGTTAATCAAAAGAAAAAATAAATCTTCGAAAATCGAAACGCACATTTGCTGTAGTAATAGAATTTTGAACTTCTGTTGGTATAAGTTCTAACTGCGCGATAATTTTCGAATTACATGCAGTGTATAATTCGAGCGAAAACAAAATCAAAAGTTCATTGTAGAAGCTATTTGATTCTACAGATCATTGTGGCGGACCAGTTTGTTGATTATACAAACGTATTAGCTAATACGGCTGAATTCACTAACCTCAACCATTGAAAATATTGACACTGCATGTAATGCATTTCATACGAGGAAGAATTCGAGTGCTAAAAATTTATTCCTTACAATTCTCGCATTTACATAAATAATTTTATTGAAATCGATAAAAATACTATCTTTGCGTATACAATTATTAAATAAAATATCAAATAGGTTTACATTATTTGATATTATCAACAATAGAAATGCTCTTTAGAGCCAATGCGAGAGTAAAAATTAATTAATTGTTTTTTTATTGAATAAAGATTAATTAGTTGTTAAATAATTTATTTGCTTAATAAGTAAATAAATTGTACAAGTAAATAAATTATTGTTAAAGTCGAAATTTATTGTACCAAAAATTAAAAGTCAAATAAATTTTAAAAGATAATATAATTATTGGTTGACTGGAATTGTATTTGAAATATATACTTATTATACAACTGTATTATATTATAACTAATATATATTAAATAGAGTAAAGCTTTGGTTAAATTAGCTGTATTGTTAATTTATAGCTCAATAAATTAATAATAAAATTCTAATTAAAGGGCAACAAATAGTTTCAAAAGACAAAGTAAATGCCATTATATGAAATAGAGGGCTTAAATTTTACAAAAGGAAGAAAGGTATATATAAATTTAAAACTTCCAAGGGCTATAAATTGTAAGACGAAATGAAACTAAACTTCCAAGTCATGTTAGAAATTGAGATATTGCCAGTTACGATGTCGCGTGGTGATAATGCATAATGCGATAAAAGGAGGGGGTAGGTTATTTATAATAATCAAGGCGTTGAGTATGAGAATGTTATAACGCCGCGAATCATCTGCATTAAATTTACCCAATGGACTTTCATGCATTCAGTTTAATCACCAATTAAATACACGCTGCGGCAACGGCGTTGAAATAGCTGCAATTATAAAAGATGATGTCGAAGCTAAATGCCATTTAGTCACGTCTATCAAACTTATAGTAGTCGGAAACGGTTTTCGTCGACTCTAACATAATGTGCAGAAAATGCATCCATTATTCTGTTTTTCTGGCGTTGCAATAAACAAACGAAACGAAGTGAAGGAAGTTAATTAACACATCCGGGAAAATAAAGGCACAATATAAATAAAAACAGCCGTAAAGATAGAAATATGAGATCGAAAGGGTAAAACGGGCAAGAGGAAGTTAAACACGGAACAATAAAATTGAACGATATAAAAATAAAAAAAGACCGTTGATTACGAAATCAGTTTGAAAGGTTAAAGGTCTGTTGCGAGCTGAACGCAAACAGAGGTGCGATGTAATTAAATGTGTAAATATTTAAAACAAACGACAAAAGATCAATACACGTATAATGTAAACGTATATAGAAATATGTATGCAGTTTGGACCCATATATTAGTAATAAATCAATGACTATAGAATTAAATGTATATATATATATATATATAATATTAATTAAAATATTTAATCCAAAAGATTTTTACTTGATAAAATTAAAATTTCATCTAAAGAGCAAGTTATAATTAAACTTTCTTTTAGAAATTCAATGTTATATATTTATTATAGATAAAAATAATATTAAAAAATAAAGAAAAAAAGGCTAAATTATTTACCTTCTAAGGTCACATTACATGTGTTTTTTGTATTTGCAATATTATGTTAGAATTTTAATTCTAAGATAAAACATAGTTTTGCGCCAGACTTTCGTTTCAATCGTTAGCAGGCCATTTGCTTATCCCGGCACGTTTCGTATAGATTACATCGCACGTCTACACGTGATCTTATTTTAAACTCGTCAGCGGTAGAAGATGCGTTTCGTTCCCGATGCACGTCTTTACAAACGCGGAAACGAGAAAGAAGCGGGGATGCATGTTACGGAGAACAAATGGCAATTTTCTAAAAATAGGAAATCCCGATGCGCGGTCCCATAAACTCGGGTCAGCCGACTCGATCTCGATTTCGGCAATACATGCCGACCGGATTGAACGAGACAAAAGTGCGATCGGTCAATTAAAGACTACGTTCGTAACACCGCGTGTGAACGTTCGTCAATGCAATTTTCAGAGCATGTCTGGACGCGTCCCACATTTCCTGCGGCACGCAACTTCATCGTGACCGTACGTGCGCGTGTGCGTGTGTATTTTGGGTGGAATTGTCGACGAAGATAGATTGCTAAAAAAAATCCGAAGTGAAATTTGTTTTCTGCACTGCGGTGCGGAATATGCTAGTATTTTCCTGATTAAATTCTTTCAATAATTCTGTTAAATCAATAATAATAGGAGTATGAAAACCTACGCTGGATGAAAATTCGTCTGTTTGCAGTTATATGTCTCACATCGATACAGCTTGTATGATGAGACGGTTATTTATGTGGATAAGAAAAATTATGATATCAATTGCATGAAAACTGGAGATGATCAATTTAAAAGAATCAAATTGACAAGCTAGCAACATGTAAGCGGTAGAAATGTAATCAAATTTTGTTTTATGTGAAATTAATTGATGTAACCTTTTTAATTTTAATTTGAAATACTGTGGATGACTGTGTATAACAGAAAAGTCGAACCACCTATATGTTATTTTTATAGAATACGAATTTATAAAGTTGTTTACGTATAAAACATCCTGCATAAATTTTCATACTCTTGATTTATTATATTAATGATTCAATCATAAAGATTTCATCTTTTGAATTTTGTTAAATTTGAATATACTAAAAATTTTACTTCATAATGTGACTTTAGAATTTTAGAGGTACAGTTTAGTTATTACATTTGATCCGATAGAATATTATGCAACTTCTACGTTGATAGAATTTCGCTCACTCAATAAACATCTCATGTCACTATACCAGAGTTAAATAATGACTTCGACCAAATAATTTGCTGGTTTCGAGATTGAGTTAGCACAAACTGTAACTACAAGTTCCACAAAATGAACAAAGACCCATGTAATATAACTGGATGCTGTATTTAGTGGAAGTTCACGACCGTAATCAATAAATTTCTAATGGTCGGTGGAGATCTCTCATTAATTTTGCAACGAATGGCAGGATGAGTGTCCCGTTTTAATTGCACCTTAAATAATCCTATTTCCCGCTCTCGTATCCTTGACATCCGGCGGAATAGCGACCAGTACCGCGTCATATTACATCGGTATGATAAAATCAAGGTGCAGCTTCACCTAAATGCAAACACGGCGGAACGTGCTGGGATCGTCCTTCGGCTGCTTAAATGGTCGTTCCGGGCAAGTCTCGCATTAAACGATTTACTAGCACGGCATATATGCGCCACGAAAGTGTCGTTGTTGGGTTCGGGGCACTTTACGTTCTTCGCAGTGTGCTCGGTGTGTGGCAGTGTCATCCTCCCTTTAAACGATGAGTGAAAAATGGTTGCTTTCACCGCGTTTGCACTTCGAATTTCTTCAGCTGTTTCCGCGAAGTCTCCGCAGCTAAGTCATAAGTTACAATCCTCTGTATTTAAATAATCTTGTCATATGGAATATGTTAAAAGAAAGTTTGGTATTTTTTTCCTAAAAGAGGATCAATTCTAAAGGACTTATATATTAAAGTTGTAAAGATGATTACATTACAGAGAAATACGAAGAATTTTAAATTACTCTTATCACGAGAATTTCAGTATTATTCTATTTTGTCAATAAATAATTTACTCAATATAAATATCTTTTTTAATAATACTGAGATATATACAATTTATATATAAATTTATCGTTTTAATTGTATTTTGCGTTTTATATATTTTTATTTTACATTTTGAATATTAAGTATTTAAATATTATTGAAAGGAGTTTCGAAAAATTAAATAAAATTTAAATTTATTTTTCTCAATTGTAGTAATATTAGTTCTATTATTATTATTTTACCCTTACAATTCTGTTGTGCCTATCTTTTAAATTCAAGAAAAAGGAACTAAGAAACTCTTGCGTGTCATATGCAAAGCGTGTAGTATTCTTGTTAAACTCACAGCCTTAATATAACTCCTCCCGCTATCTTTTCTACCGAAGCATTACTTTTTTTACGGCTTTCGCGTAATGTCGCAAGTCTCCGTTCTCTATATAATGTGAAAAATGACGATACTCGCGCGCAACGCGTTTATGCCCCGAATTCCGCGAGATACTCGCGTTCTTAGCGAGCAAGCCCGTTACCAGTTTCCAGCTGATAGCGCCGGGAACTCACGTTCCCGCCATTGTTGCAGGACAGACAGAATTGCAAGCATCCCCATCGACACGAAGTTTCCTCGTATTTATTTTTATTTCGCGATCGCGCACACCTGACTCAATATTTTATAGCGTCGACGCTGTTTTTACAGCGGTTTCCCGAATATCGCGGTTACTCTTTGCGTTAACGAGCGCGACGTGTAAATTGCGCGGTTCTGTCAACGACGCAAAGAAGTTAGCGTCCACGGGAGTTGGGCTTCACCACGGTACCTCACATGAAATAATGAATATCTCTCGTCGCAAAAAAGGTAAACGCGCATTGCGTATGCAAATGCATTTAGCGACACATTTACGTATTTCTCGGAAAACTTATTATTTTTCATGAAGAGAACTTGTTTCTACACAATTACGAATTTAGATAAATTTCCGAAAAATTTCGCATTAAAATTGAAAATATACGACCAACACACAAAAGATTAATCTATCGCGAAATTTAAAACAATCATATTTTTTCGTATGGTATCAAAATTGTATCTTATTTCTATTTTTTCAAACAATGTTTTTTATTTACTTTTTATAACACAGGTTGTTAATGATATTTGTAGAGATATTTGCTAACAAGACAAAAATATACTTCTCCACTTACTATTAAAAGATATCAATACTATTTATATAATATCGCTTATAACAACAGAAAAGAGAATCTCCGCAATCGCAAAATCATATGCACATCAACGTTACATACTTTCGTGTATAAATATATATTTATAGGTTAGGAATAACGAAACCGTGACGTCACACTAATTTTGCACACAGACAGGCTTTATGTATTCGTTATTACAAACGTCACGAGCAAAAATCAGATTTTTCGCGACGAGCCAGTAACTTCATATCTCTGCAAGGATTTATACGGCTTGGTATTCATTCATTCTCACCAATTTGCTTTCAGTCATTTAAGCGCACAAAATTTAAAGCTCCGCATATTTCAGCAGGTTTTTTTCAGCAGGAAATTTTCACCGTTTTCAAACGAGATATGGATTAAAGTGCGCTTCATTTCTGTTTTGATAGGACGAATGATGAAATCGTTCCCTATATATTGGAATTATACCCATGATATACATAGCAAAAATAAAGAAATAAAATCCAAATTGGTACAAACATCATTAATGTTTTCAAAAATTTTCTTTATTTTCAAAAGTTTAAGTTCAAAAGTTTCGCATATATTTAATAATAACTTCTGGAGCATAAATTAGATTATAAAAGATTAACGTTTCATGTAAATTTAATAATGTCATAAATTTATTGTAACTGTATTATCATACTGGGAATATTGTACGAATGAACTTTTCTCAGTATTTGCATAATAAATATGTAAATGAGTAATATGTATTTTTCCTCCATTTGTTTTACATTTTTGAACAAATGAATTTTGGTTTCACAAAAATAATTATGCAAAAAGATATTTAACGATACAATTATTAATGAAATTATCATGTAGTAACAAATAATAGAATAAAAAATATATACGCAAGTTATAATTTTGTTATTTTGAATATTTTTGTTAGTGATATTTAACTTGAATTTATTAATGTATTAATAATTAAAATAATAAAATGCAAGAAATAAAAAGTTCTTATTGCAATATTTTCCTACAATTAACGCAATAGATATCAATGTGACATTTTTTTAGAAATTCTAATTATATCTTGTGGAACAAATACTCACGAGCTTAAAAACTTAAAAATAGTTTTTGTCAGAATGAAATTCAGTCTGAAAAGATTAAGAGAGTCATTATATTTAATTAGTAAGAAAGATTATTTTAACAACTTTTTTACTTTATTTCAAAACATTATTCATTTCTCAAAATTAAAGCAGTAATAGTCATCTTTAAAAATATTAATGATTTTAAACAATATAACTATCTAATTTGGAACTAAATCTCAAATTAAATAAGATGTCATTAAAATAAATTTAAAACTGAATTAAATACGGAAGATATTGTTATTTATTTTTCTTCCTAAAACTCGATCGACAAAATTTTCTTGTAACGTAGTAATAAACAATGATATTCAAACATTAAATTAAACATTGATAATCTTTGTAGAGATAAAATCAGATAAAGAATTTCAGAACTTAAGAATTTTGGCAACACACCGTATATATTTTCGGGGAGACATTCGTTCATGGCCATTAATTTCCAAGCACTTGAACATGTAAATTTAGCCCGTCATGTATTTCCGTATAGTGTTTCGATCCCATTCGAATGCAAGGAGAAGTAAAGAACGTGCCTTTACTGCGGTACGAACTGATTCGTTTTAGTATAATCCGGTTACTTCACGTTACGGTAAGGTGAGAAATGCGCCCGGTACAAAAGACAGTAAGAGTAATAAGCCATGCATCTAACGCGTTGCATTTCCATTACACAAAGGTCCATTAAGATTTTTTTATGCGTCGGTTAAAGAAAGAACTGAATCAAGATGAGATTTGCAGGTTCGATTATTTACGTAACATCGGGAATTCGATACAATTTCATTACATATACGTTTCACTATATTTAAAGTAAAACGAGATCTTTACATTATTCATGATATTTTTTTTACACGGTAAATTCATGCCAATTATTAATTCTTTTATATTTTATATAATAAAATTATAAAATATATTAAATAACTTTCCGTATTAATGTCATCAATTCTTTTCATAAAAATACATAACATTATTTTTATATTATAAGTTAATATTAAAATTTGTATTTTAATAGCTCATACTTATTACAGTATATTTGCATATCATAAGTTATTATTAAAATAAGCACAAAATATAATAGAAAAAATATATAGAGCAATATAATAACTGTTCAAAACAAAAGATAAAGAGTCTTGCGATAAATTCCTATTCGAAATAATTCCCTAATCATTACTTACACTATCATAATGTTTCTCCCATTAACATAAGGGGTGAACGCGAAGATGCATCGCTGAGAGATGTCGATCGAAACGAGAACTATGGCATGCAGGAATATCGCAATTTCGGCAGAGTACGTGCGTGTTACTACTCAGAACGATTAGAGAAGAGAAGGGCACGAGCGTAGGGTGCTTCTGGCGGGTTTTGTCGAGGGGTGCTGGCGTGACCACGAGTAATTTCGAACGACGCGACGTCTCCCCTTCAGCCGCTCACCCGCTCGGATCGTGGGTGGCCCCAGCACCCTGGTTGTCTCATCGACTGGAACAAGCACGGCAAGATCGCTAGGGCAAGGTCTATGTTAATAACGCGGATCACTTCATCGCATGCATGCTTATTATTTAGCTGTGCCAGCCTGGTTTTAATTCGTGCTGGCTACACACACCGCCGGCGAGAGTGCTGCAAGCATGAATATTAATGATTGCAGCACGGAGTGGTCACTTTTCTTCTGGAAATAGTTGCTCCTGACCGAAGGAGCAACGCCGGAAGAACGACCGTCCTTGAAAAGGCATTTGATTGTCTTTTACTTGTCGACTAACCTTGGCTCTTGAACCTTAAAGACACGCTACATATGTTTTATTCGATCCATTGATGCCACTGAACGTTCTCATTTTGCGGGGATTTAATTAACTTAGTACATACACGATGATTTTCCGGTCCTTTACTACTCACGATGGTTATTCATGTTCCGGGATAATTTTCATCGCAGTTTAACAATTAAACAAAAATTATTGAGTGAATCTTACATTATATACTTTAATATCCTTAGAAAGTATTTGTAAGATTTTTTTTTTAAATTGAAGCTTGATGTTTCTAGTTTTTCAAAGAAAATAACATAGGTACAGGAATAATACAATCATATGTATTAAGGATTAATTACATATTTCAATTTTTTCGATCGCGCTTGTAGAGAGGATTGATATCTATTATCGAAAATAGGAGTTTGAGGAAATAATGAAATTTCGATAATTTAGAGAAAGAATTTACAATTTTATCACGTATTTTTTTTTATGAACAATAGCTAGAAAACATTTCTATTTTTACTTGCATTCCAATACAATCGAAGAATTATACATTCAGAAATACATAAATTCGTGCCTGGAAATGAATAGCTGTGACTGAATGAATATCTTTACGAAAATATATGTGTTTCAAAAATTTTCGCAACCTACGTACGCGCCTATAATTACCAAATTTCATTTTTGCTAAAAGATATATTAAAATATTATAAGTAGTTATTGTACTACAAGAAAATAAATACTATAAATATACTTATTAATACTTATTAATAATATTGTAGATATATAAATAGGTGTAACAATTAAGTTTGAAGAATGAAAATAATAAACAAAGTCTTTTTTATACCCAACTACGATTGAATTTTATTTTAATAATATCTTAATTGAAAGTCGCGCGATGTAAGTAAAGGATTTATTACATCCCCAATTAATTGCTGTGCAGATTTCTTGGTAATTGCGGTACTTTTGCTTAATTTATCACTTGAGCTATTAACTTATCAACATGTCTTTTCTCATTAGCAAGTTCTTTCCTATATTATAAACTGAAGTTCTTAGGTCACTTTATATAAGTATAAGTCATAAATTACTTAGTAGAATTGCTAATTAACAGCTTTCCTCTGACGTGCCTAACGCACGTGATTCGCAAACATGTATGTAGTTGATATCGAGAAATAGAACATTGCGTGATTGTTTAAATTTACACGAACATTTCCGTTAGCTTCAACTTTATTAATCTTTTGTTGCGAAGCAGCTTGTATCGATTAAACTTTCTATTCTTGATGATTCATTATATTTATTTTCAGCGTTATTGTTACGTGTTGTAAGAAAACTGCTCGAAACACAACTTTTACTTGTAGTTTATTTTATCCAATCTTTTAAGATTATCTAACAAAAGGAGCAATATACATTTACTTATTTATTTATATTAAATTATAACATTAAAAAAATGTACGTTCTTCATATAGTTATATAATTATATTTTAAACATTCTGCCTGGTGTTATTATTATACCGCACAAATTCTTTGTGCGATTATATTTTAAATAACTTACATTGCTTAAAAGCATTCGTTGAAACAAATATAGCTTTCGAAATCTTATGTTTTAAACTGTATTGCAAGCTTTCAAACAACATGAATTATCTGTGATATAATGCTTAATACTCTTTCCGAACGTTTTATAAGCTTCAAAAATAAAAGACATGTTCTAAAATATGAACATAGAAATCCCATGAAAGTATCCCTTATAAATTAAATGTAACTTAAGTGACTTTTTACTAAATTAAAATTGATGTAATTATGAATTTTATATAAGATATATTCATAAAATGTATATCAAATAAGATACCTGCAAGATACATTTATAAAAAGATCTCATCTTTGAGAAGCTAGCAAAACATTTACATAATTTTATTAATTTTATTATACGTAGTAGCTGCGAATAATTTCCGCCTCTCATAATTAAGTGCATAAAATATGAAGAAAAATCTTTTTCTTGTTATACATTGTAAAGTAATTTTATCGGGAAATATCAAACTTGCGAGTACATAATGTTCCTGCTTTTCTTCCGCGCGCGCGGCACGGAAATAAATCACTAACTCGTTGAAGTACGTGCATGTAAGTAACGGCATAGGATGAGTGCTGTGAAATTCGACGGAGCGTACGTTTCAACGACTCATGGTAGCTCACCCTATGAGGAACGCACACAACGCGAGGAAAACCATTCACAAGATTAAGAGCGCGACTGTACGATTTTCCTGCGCGGGCATTTCTCATAGTGCGAGCATCCAAGTTAAAGCTTTCGAAGTGAATTAGATTCCTAAGGGTGATTCTCTTTCGTTGATTTTCCCGAAAGCTAGTATTTTAGCAACGTGCAATTATATAAGTGTAATGGAATGTTCATGTGAATGCTGTTTTGAACTATTTTAAGGAATATTCGCGATTGAATGATTAATAGGATTTGCATTTTGCTAAATTTGTTAGATTCGAATTCAAATATTTTGAAGTTTTAAAGAAAAAGCTGTGGAAAAGATATTGTATTTGTGCTTTCTGTTTCCGATGTTATCAGAGAAAATAAAATTACTTAATTTATTTATATATAAATATTTCAATTTTGAGAGGAAAGAAATTTTTGGTATCATCATGTAAACATAATAAAAATATAAAGCAGTAAGATCGATCAAAATCGCGGATAACATCTTAAATGTGACGTTAATTATATTTAAGCGTCAAAGTGACCTTAATTAGAAGCATTCAAATGATGTTTTAGGTCGTATATATTAATATCAAAATGGCTCGCGTGACAGCTTCGATTAGTTACTCTTACTTGTCATCAAAGTCTCATTAATCTCACCGCTTATGATGAAATAAGCTCGCGAAGTAAACTTTCCAAATGAGAGTTAGAGGAGGAAGAGAATCAAATATACTTTGGATCAAGTTCAAAATCTTCGTTTGCGCATAATGCGCTATCGAAAAAAAAAGAGAATCAAAAACTTAAATGAATTATTACATTTTCCAAATTGACATAATTATCTGCATTCTCGTCGATGCAGTGATATCTCGGCTCTCGATGGTCCGAACGGTAAATTTTAATTAGAAATGTTTAAAAAACTTGTCACAATGAAATAAACTTCTATAAAACAGATTAAATAAAAATTAACAAAATAGCAGCTATTATTGCAGCTTTATATTAACAAAAAATTTAATTTTTTAGTTTTTTATACTAAAAAATTAATATTTTTCGAAATAAAATATTTAATATCCTCGAAATAAAATATTTCAACAAGGTTCTCTGTAAATCATTCAATAGCGGCAAGCCTCTCGAAAATTTTTAGCTAAAATTCGCCGTGATTGGACCACCGAGAACAGAGATATTCACTACAAAATAATAATTTCGAAAGAGAAAGAGAATATATATGATATATATATATATATATCAATAAATATATATATATATTTATTGTGTTTGTCAAGTGTTTGTCAATAAATAATATATTTTTTTACTCTTTATAAATTGTATAAATATTATCGTTCAAAATTTAATTTTCATATATTTATTCATACTTACTCCAGTAACGTTCGTCGCATAAAAAATAGTAGAAAATTTCGAGCAATCTGGCACTCTAGTTTCCTTAAACGGAATAATTATATATAAGACATTAGACAAACGATAATTATTTAATTATCCTTAGAAATCGCACATTTTCGCAATTAGATTTTTGTCGAAGTCATTTTCTTTGGCATCGTAGTACGGGTAATTTCATTAAGTTAGTTGACTTTACCTCAAGTTAATTTATTCTTCCCTTAGTTCCACTTTTATAAAAGAACAAAGAACGAGTTGGATTAAAGTTAAACGAAAATGTGGGGTTCGAG